CGTCCCTGTCTGTCCTCTGTGGCTTGTGGCACCAGGGGGGAACTTTTTACAGGGCAGCTGGCCAGCTGTGGGGCAGAAGCTAGTGGGGGCCAGTGGGTGTATCATGCCGTGCGGGGTGGGGCTGTGGGCAGGTTTCCGTCTGCAGCGAGGCTATAAACTTGCTGTGTCCCCAGGGGGGCTCTGAGAATGAGCCGGTTCTGCCATCTGCGCGGGAAGAGCAGAGTCGATCGATTAAATGCAGGGATAAAAGGCCGAGATGACTTTGAAGGGCCGGATAAGGTTGTGCTGTTGTATGTGGGGGAGAGATCCAGCCTCCACCATCCCTTGGCTACTGCCCTTTTTATTGAACGTCTTTTAAGTGCAGCACAAATGAGGACATAGGGAATGGGAGGCGGGGTGGAGGAGCAAGGAGAAATGCACAAGTGTTGCCAGTCTGCGCACACGTACATGCAAGGGGCCCTTTCAAGCTGGGAGGATGTCAGGTTGTTCGCCTGTTGCCCTAGTGCCTTGTAGTGCTGGGTTCGAGGTACCAAGAGAAGGCACCTCCAGCCCCAGGAGGGGAAGCCCCAGGGGAGTGACACCCCCAGTCCTGACCCTAACCCTGCAGCCTTTCCATGATACTTCCAGAGCTATTTCCACAATACTTCAGTCACTCTTCATGCAAAGGGTCAACAGCTGGCAAAGAAACCCGTATTGCAAGCGTGTTGTAGAAGCGAGTGGGGCAGGGAGCAAGCAGCCACATCAGGAAGGCCACAAGCAACGTACCTGGCAGGGATCTGCATGGGCTGACCGGCCATTTAGAAAGGACCTAAAGCTACAAAGAAATGGGACCTTAGTGTGAAGCATGGCTGGTACCATCTGTGATGGGGCTGGGCTCGCTGTGTGTAAGGTAGGGAGTTTTGAAAGGTGCTCCTTCTGGCTTCAGTGGGGCAGGACAAGGCCAGGACTGACCTCTCCTTGCCTAGGCAAGGGCCTGTGGGAGGTGGGGGCCGGAAAAAGGGCCTTTCTGGCCTGAAGGGTGTCAACTAGATGCCACAGGGCAGGGCTTTGCTTCCCTCCAAAGCAGCAGGCGCCGGCTGCAGTTGGACGAGCCGCTGGCTGCTCGGGTGGGAGCCGTGGTCCTGGCAAATCCTGCTGGGATATATTCCCTACCAACCTCCTTGCCTTCCAGCTGCCCCCTCCCAGCTCCAGCCCTTGGCTCGGGCAGCTTTGGTCCCAGTGATGCAGCCTGCGGGTTTCATTCAAAGTTGGGGGGTGCCACGGTGTCCCAAGGCTGCGGCTCTGAGGGAGAGGGTGCTCCTTGGTCCCAGTGCAGCTCTCTACAGGGGAAGGGAAGCCTTGACCTACCTGCACACTGGCTTTGTCTTCTCAGCTCTGTTGCAAATGCAGCCTGTTCTGGTGACTCTGCTGTGTATCAGTTGCCTGGTTTGAGGGCCTGGTTTCCTGGTGAGCTCTGGATTCCTTCGGGATAGGGCTTATCCATGGACCTCCCTGCGGCCAGGTGCCCCCCTGCACCTCCCAGGCTTGTGGCACTTCTTGCATTGTTTTCTACGGCTCTGGCCTCACGCCCCATTTGCTTCATCTTAGTTGCCACCTGGGTGCCTTTCTGCGAGGGGCTACATGCTGTCCAGGACTGCTGTGCCCCAGGCTCAGCCTTTGGAGCTGCACTCACAGAGGTGGGCAGAGCTGCAGCCTGCATCATGCCAATGTGAATCCTGCCTCGGGGCAGTTTTCACTAGATCCCTGCCCTGAAGCTGCCCACTCAGCTGGCAGGGGGCAGAGCCCAGACCCAGCTCCTGCTGCCATCAAGGAGAATGAATGGACGTCAGTTATCGGAGGAGCCTGGTATTTGGCGAACATAGGAGGAGAGAGCAGGAAATCTGTTTCTAAGGAGGCAGCAGCTACCTTGGCCAGGGCCAGCAACGCCCCCCCCCCCCCCTTTC